CTTGTTTTTGAAAGGTGAATGTTTAAATTAATTAAAATCCAACTATGGAGCGAGATAAGAGAATAAATGTTTTATAAACGATAAACAACATTAATTGGCTAACACCATCACCCATACCTGTGAAGAAAACCAAATACCCTGCACACTGTCAGTCACTTGTATTCACATTATTAACACCATTTCAGTCCTAAACCTGACGAGGGTTTACTGTGATGTTTTTGAAGGGCGTAAAATAACTATTTGACAGTATTGAGGATTGTTAAGAAAGCCTAATAAGCCAAAAGCCACATATCTTCAGAACTGAGTTTGCCCAAGATCAAAAAGTCTACCAATGGCTTTCACTTCATGTCACAATGACCCACCGGAACAAATTTCATCCTTTTAAAATATCTAGACAGGAAGAAGTTCTAAACTAAAAAGGCTCTCGCTTAAATTAACAGATCTGCCACTTTCATCCGTCACATTTATTTTCTGCTATAGAAATGTGGCTACCCTCCCTCTCCATACTTTAAAATAACCTCTAAATATAAACAGTAAACACTGGATTTCTCATAACTTACAAGTGTGGACTCACATCAGTAGCAGCAACACTTGTTGTGTGTCATCTACAACGCGGGTCACCTTATACTTCCACCGGTGTCATTTTGTAGCGTGAATAATACCAGGGTTAAAGAGATTACCGTCTCTTGCACTTGTATGTTTGATTCAATATCACCAGTAAAAAGGTCACTCTCTAGTTTCAAATAATTGCAACACTACAAGGCTGAGCCTCTTCTGGTTACTCTATCTGGCTCCTTGTCATCATTTAAAGAACAGATCATGCCATTGGCCTCCCTATAAAAAGCTGTTTACTAAGTCGTGAGTAATAACTAACCTTGCCAAAAACTGGTTCCTTCTTTATAGTCTCATTGACAGTCCTTTTTTTTTTTTTTTTTACATCATTTGATCCTGTTTGTTTTACGACTGGGTCGGTAGCATATCTTTTTTCTATTTGTTAATCTAACTCTCTCAGCTCAGACAAACCAACACGGTCTCCTACACGTTCTGTTAATACAAAGCGTTTTACATTATGAACATTACAGCCAGCGCAAACACAGAAAGCAGTGTGACTTTTATTTAGTGGAACAGAAAGAAAAGTAAAAAAGTAAAAGCATTTGCTCTCCATTGCGATGTCCGACTGTAGGTTTGTGTCCCAAGCAGTCATGTATATAGTAATGTATATACGTAGATTGGGTCAAATGCAGAGGACACATTTTGTTTTATATATGCAAAATGCTGTAAATACTGTGTAATGACAATAAAAGGCTGATATTTATTTATTTATTTATTTATATTTATAGCCAGTATTGACTTTCACTGACCATGACCATGTTTAATAAACATTAACCATTGTTTTAATGGCTATGCTGTACCACAGTTGTCCTGCACTGGATTGGGTGATAAACCAGATGAAAACACAGAAACCAAAAATGTTGTTGATGCTGTACATCCAATATAAACAGTCTTTTAAATATGCTATAAATAAAATCACAACACAGCTACTCAGTCTGAACTGTAGATAACAAACCGCTCAGATAAAACACTTCAAGGAGTCTGTTTAAAGCTGAACATCACATAATGAGTGGTTAGGTTTGGACCTTTGTTGTGTTTATTCCAAGTAAGAAGTGGCACATTTTTCCAAATCAGAGACAGACTTTCAATACTCTCATGCGTGCCCTGCCTGTGCAATGTCTCATCGAGTTGAGGAAAGAATATAGTTTAGGTTCACTAAGCCTTAGATTTTGGCCTTTGCTGATCCAAACATTTTTAGGGATGAATTTCTTTTCTCCAGTCTCTTATCAGGTCAGACAATGTTGAGTAAAAATGTAATATTTAAAAAAAAAAAAGTGGCTGCAGCAATATGCCTAGCACAGCTAAAGTGGGAAGTGTTTGTGGCAGCAGTGACCAGATTTTAAATGCATGAGGATCAATAAAAAAAGGGAGCTGCTGAGGCACAGTGTTCATGTGAGAGTGTGATGGTTTACAGAAGACACTGTGACTATCTGACTAAGAATTATGAACGTGGAGTCAATCCATCCATCCTCAGCCGGCCTGCATATACTGCAGCAAAGGAGGCGAATAAATACCAAACAGCCAAACAAACAGAGCAGACCACTAGCATTTTAAACATCAGCCCCATTAACACAGCAGGGGAGACTTCAATCTCAGAAGCATCATTGGTTCAAATAAAGCACTGCGACAAGAAGCATCTCCAGGCGGAGAGAAAATAGACTGGGAAGATGAGTGAAAAAGAGTAATCTCCCTGACATATTCCTAATAATCCACCTCCCTCGTGCCGCTCCCCCCCAAGCTCACCCAATCATAAAGTGTCAACACTGACCTACAAAAAGGGACTCCCGTCAAGCCTTACATGTTTAAAAACATCAATCACAACAGACAAAGAGGCTACATTGAATTATACAGTATTAACCTTCAGGGCTTGCATATAAAGACCATAGATTTATTTATGCTCGTGTGTTAAGAGCCCCTGCACTGCTCCTTACAGCTGGCTGCCAAATTGATGAACCTGCTCAGCCCTCAGCGGGAGACCAGCACCTTTGATTAATGAGTGCAAACCTGTGGAAAGGGTACGAGTAGAAGAGAAGAGACAGGGTGAAAATGGGTGAAAATGGGTGAAAACACAATTATTAGCCGTCCTGCTTTTTTCTTTCAAAAACGCCAAAAAGGAAAAAAAAAAGGGGCACTTTTAAAAAAGAGCCAAAGGTACATAAAGAAAGAGGGGATTCAGCACATTAGGTTACATCTGACACAACAAAATGACATATTAGACAACTGAAACTAGTCTGTGCACTAACATCCAACAATGCTGACGTGCTGCGCTGCTGCTGGAATTGAAGGTGTTTATAGTAAGCTGGGATTAAAACGTAGTTCTTTAAAGTTAGACAATAAATAGTTTGTCAAGTCAATAAATAAAAGACTAGATTGAGTTAAAAATATGCTTTAATCTAAATGCTAGGGCTGCTACCATTTAAAAAGCCCTCCATGAGCTAGATTTGCCTTTGGGGCCTGGAAGAAGAATGACACCCTGAAATAATAACAACACTCAAAGGCCACTTTGCTGACTTGTTTGATTCCTCAAAGTTAAAATATTAAGACAGCGTATTAGAGTCCTACAGCAGCACTTCAACATTGTTCTCTCTGCAGAGGTTTTCAAGGACATGTGCTCTGAATAAATATGAGGCAAATTTAGTGACCTTCTACCTGTGTTTTGATTCATTGGCAGTTACTGGATGCATGCATAACACATCAAGGCTGTGATCTGATTTATCTCGCTGCCTTGGCTACTGAAGCCATTTAAATGATGGACTTTACAAGGAATCATGTTTATTGCCATTTCACTTAAGACTGTGTGTGCAAAGGGCGTACGCTCGTTCATTACTATTAATTACACCTGTAAAGACAAATCAGCTCCACTGTGCAGCAAACAAAAAGATGCCTGCCAGGACAAACTAAATGACACACGTTAGATTTACACCATCAACAATAAGCTGTGTACACTGCGTGAGCCTGGTGAGTACTCGCTGTGCACAACACACACTCCTGAAGTTTGAATAGGCCCGTTACAAGTTCATTTCCAAAGAAATCAACGATGCGAAGGTCTCTGACACGAAAAGAAAACCACAGGGTCTGAAGAATAATGCAATTAATGATGACTAAATACCATACAGCTGCTTCAGTTTCAGCGTCCTGCTATTGTTGACGTTACTAACATTAACACCTTTCCATGTGACAAGTCAAGATGTGGCCACTTTGACAGGAAATCACAAACACAGGGGTTACCGATGATCCTAATTGAGGTTGTGTTTCATTCAGGTCAAACAGAGTCAAGGTGCTGCTGCACTAAATGGAACGGAGCCCTAATTAGTATCATTCGTAACACCTGTGTTTACCCGACTGTTTCGTGTCATAGTGGCTGCTGTGTTTACTTTGTGTTTAATTTCTTTCAGGAGAATTGGGGCTGGAGGGTTGCCCTTAATGCTTAACGCACTTTAAATGTAGTGAAACTTCTGTGCCAGATCTTGTATGTGTTCAGATTTTAAAGAGAGAAAAAAATACACTGGTATTCAAATATATATTTAAACAAGGTTTCTTAAAATTTAGAGCCAGGTAAGGAGGCTCAGCATAAATACAACATGGAAGACATCAGGGCAAATTTAAAAATGCCCTGATGTCTGCATTGGTTTTAGTGTGTGCTTGTGGCTGAATATCTAAGGCTTTAAGGAAAATGTGTGACATGTCATCACAGGAAGCTGAAAGTGCTTGAACTGCAGTTTTATAACAACCAATCCGTTTTGAAATATCTCTCTCAAGGCATACATCAAACTCCACAAAAACTCCCCCCCAAAAAAACCTCTTTACATTTGCGTGATTAAAATGCTGCTCAACAGAAATCAAGCTTGTATTAAACACTTATTTCCTCCTGCAAAGTTTCCTAACTTCGCCCCAGATAAACACGGTTTAAATAGACAGCGCTAATTTAAATACCCCAAGATGGCGAATGCCTTGTTGTTAATATGAAAGCAGAAAAATGGAGGGTATTGTCATAATCTCAAAGGGTAAATTTCAGCCCAGACCGCAGCTGCAGCATTAGCTGCGCTTTCCTTTAAGAGGAAGCAACAAAAAGAGAAGATAGAGGGAGGAGGGGGAGAGCAGCCCCCTGCTTTAATACTGATCACAACATCATTTAATGTTAGGAAAGACGAAGAAGCTAAGAACATGAACATCGCTCACCTGTCTTTATATCCAGTTGTTTGTTTTCATGAGATTGTCACGCGAAGCTCAAACCCACAACAAGCATTTCACAGCCAAGACACTACTTTTTTTTTTTTTTTTT